GGGGCTTTAGGACGAGTGGAAGGGGAGGACGGAAGTGAGGTGGGGCTTTAGGACGAGTGGAAGGGGAGGACGGAAGTGCGGTGGGGGGGCTGAGGACGAGTGGAAGGGGAGGAAAGTGCAGTGGGGGGGGTTGAGGACGAGTGGAAGGGGAGGACCAGTGACCATTTGCTTTATACATCAAATGAACCACAGTGTTCTGGAGGAGACAGAAAAATAGACAGCTGAAGAATGGGGTAAGTTTGCCCCGTATAGGATGTGCTGGGGTTGACAGGGGCAGCCATGAGCCCTCCCTGGAAGGGAGAGTGGGAAGGTCAGGGAGGACTTTATAGGGCAACTGATGAAAATAATTTTGTCAGGAGAGAAGGGGAGAGGGCTTCCTGAGCAGAGGCAGCACATGAGCAGAGAGTGTGTTCTTGTTTAGGGTTACAGCCTGTTGGATGTGAAACAGATTGCCTGGGCGACAGTGGCAGGAGATTAATCTTGGAAAGGCGACATGGGCCAGATCATAAAAACTCTGGGTGCTGTAGTGGGGAATTTGTAATTTGTCAGTACCAGTGGTCCTCTGCTCACCTTTGGGAGTATTCTTAATGGCAGAAGACAGTAAGTGCAGACCCTTTCTGAAGCAAATTTTCCTTTCAAATTTCATATTTTATTTTAAAAATTCTAATGAATTTTAAGGTATAGTCCATAATATATCTGCTTGTCTTTTAATGTGAAAGTGTCTCAGGTTATTCTCCATTGGGTCAAAATGACTCCAGCGACATGAACCTCATTGATTCTGGGGCTTTGGGTCACCTTGCACATCACCATATTCACCCCCACCCGGTTGGAGCGTGTGTCTGTTGCTGATGAGCAACCCCTTACAGCCACAGGGAGAGCACAGAGCATCAGCATCAGACTTGCATTAAGGAAGACTATCCTGTTGTGCAATGGAGGACGGGTTGAAGGGGGAGAAAGTAGAGACTGGGGGATATTATGGTGGTCTGGGTAAGAAATAATGAAAGCCCGAACTTTAAGCAACAGGGATATTGAATTTGGAAAATGGAATTGGCATGCCTGGTGACTTCACTAGATGTGGAAAATGAAGGAGACAGAGCACTTTAGGGTGATTCTCCAGTATTTTACTTGGGCGTTGAGACTGGGAGTATTGAGGAGAGGAATTGGTCTGGGGTTGGGGAAGGAGCTGCCTCGTGTACTGAATTGAGGGCCTGCCTAGTGCGGTGGGGAGTTGAGGGCATGGTGTGTTCAGCCACATGCAAAGGTTTAATTTAATGGGATCTATGAGTCTGGAGAGGGCTTAGAGTAGGATGTCAGCAGCATATAAGTAGGCGCTGAAGCTTTGGGAGTAGATGAAATTGCTTAAAAATAGAATGCAGAGTGGTAGGAGAGGCCCAGACGTGAGACATCTTGAGCAACACCAGCATTTCGGAGAAGGGCAGAGAGCTGGCCGGTTAGCTCGGTTAGAGTGTGGCGCTCATAACACCTGTACCGACGACCCCTGTACCGGCCGGACACAAAACACACAAAAAAGTTACTTGTGACTTTTCAGTGTATGAGCCTCCTCTCTTCATAGTAACTTTAACCTTAAATCTGAAACGACCCCTGTACCGGCCGGACACAAAACACACAAAAAAGTTATTTGTGACTTTTCAGTGTATGAGCCTCCTCTCTTCATAGTAACTTTAACCTTAAATCTGAAACCAATAAAAATTTAGGAAAGAAAAAAATAAAAGGGCAGAAGCTTCTAGGAAATAGTGAGGGATCTGTAGAGGGAGGAAGAGATCCAAGAGTGAGAAAACAGGGAGGAATTTCGAGTCTGTGAGGATGATGGACAGTGCCCAGTGCCACAGAAATCAGTGCATGCACAACAGTGCCTGAAAGACGTCCAAGGCACTTGGTGGGTCTTTGGTTATTAAAGTTACTGTGATCTTAATGAGGGCAGATTCAGTAGACAGCGCAGAACAGATGTGGCTGCACTGAGAAGTGGTAGCCGTCGACTTGACCGTGCGTTTCAAGAGGCTGAGCTGTGAGGAAACAGCAGGGAGAGTGTGCTGGCGAGAGGCAGACATGGGCATGCCTTTTGTAAGTGGTTTGGTTTTATTCCTAGTATAGGGGTGGAAACATATTTATATGCTGAAGAATAGCCAGTTCAGGGAAGAGGTGGAAAATATGAAAGAGGACCGGCCTGCTGCCTTGCACTTGAGATGTGTGTTTTAACAATATCTAACAAATGACTGCTCACTGTTAAACTCTCAGTCTCACTCTCACAGGTGAAATTTGTGTGTGTTGTGGGTTACATGTTTTTTGGTATTTAATCATGGTTTCATTAACTTGGGTTGGGGGGGCATTATTTTTTAGCCTCAGAATATTCTGCTGACAAGTGAATCTCCATTGGGTGACATTAAAATAGTTGATTTTGGCCTTTCGAGAGTAATGAAGAGCAATGAAGAGCTCCGAGAAATCATGGGTACTCCTGAATATGTGGGTGAGTGTTCGTAAGACTGGGAGTGTTTTGTGTTTGGGGTCAGACGTCACCCTTGTTAGGGAACCCACATGTGGCATGCTTCATGGTGGGGGAGTCATCTGCTGTACTGAAATTCCACAATCAGAGATTCATTCCTTTGGATTAAATTTATTTATTCATTTCATTTCATTTCTATCTATATATCTATTTATCTATCTATCTGTCTGTCTGTCTGTCTGTCTGTCTATTTAGTAAGTAAGTAAGTAGGTAAGTAGGCTGGCTGTGATTAAATTTAAAAATGGAAAATTTTCAAGAGTAAGATACCAAAATGGTAATCCCTTTCCTGCAAGGCTAAGAGAATTTGAAGTGATTATGTCTAAAAGGAATAGGAGAAGATTTTCTTAACAAAGTAGGATAGCAGCTTATCTGAGGATGGGAGGATATTTTAAAAAGGACCTTTAAAGAAATTCCAGTTGGTAATAAAGATTTGATAAAGGAATTGCCAATCCTGGGGTTCCATAGAAGTATGGGGCAGAGAAAGCACGCAGATGGGTCCATTCAAGGGTGAGGGCTTCTGGCAAAAGGCAGAGGAAGCGAGCAGCTGACGTGATGCACCGCCAGTTCAGGTCAACTAAACAGTGACTTGTCTTTGATGGACTGTGAGTAAGATGGGGGTTGAAGGATTAGTGGTTTGAATGATGTTAAAAGCAACAAAAAGAAAGGTGTCTGTGTTAGAGTAAGACTAGCGGTTGGAATATTGACATTTAAAATTTGAGTCGTGAAACAGCTCTTTGTAATTATGAGGCCTTGGATGTAGCTCTGGAAAGGCAGTTCTGTAGACTGGGAAGTCAGGAAGTTCATGGGCATGAGTGTGGAAGTGGAAGTTGCCCAGGGTGGTGGCAGGCCTAGGAGAGGAGCAGGAGGGCTGCTGTGTCAGTAGATGACAGCAACATGACAGGGTGGACATGGCTGTGGCTGGGCCTGAGGGTAGGTAGTGGCGCAATGTGGGCAGAGAGGCAGTCTCCGTTCTAGAGGGCTGGGAGCTGGGGCGAGTGGGTCTCCTTTCAGGGAAGAGGTCAGAGAAGCTGAGGATGTTGGGAATTTATTGACAAGAGAAGAGGGTTTCAGAAGGCACAGGAGGGCCGATAGGGTTGCAGAAAACAAAGCTGTATGGCAGTGATAGTACATAAAGTAATTGAAAGTTTTAAAGTTCTACAATTTGAAAACAGATCCTTAATTAGGTAATAAAAGATGCCATAGGCAGAGAAACAACCTTTAAATATTTTTGCATGTCTTTAATGGACTAGAATACTTAATTTTCAGTATGCTGACTGATATGCATTATGACTACTAAGTTTTAAGAATGTGACTTAGTGTTTCTTTGGGGAAAGCAGCAGCCCAAATATTTTAGCCAATTTTAATGGGTAGCATTGCAAGCTAGAAGACTGCAGAATTAAGGGCTTATGAGCTGAAATACCAAAATAGTAATTATTGCCCTGAATGAGGTATTTTTGTTTGTTTGTTTTGTTTTAGTGCTTTCTGTTCTTTGGTAAATTCTAAATTTTTCTACCAAGAACCTTTTCCCCCCCAAACTGAACTATCTTCTGTTTTGTACAAGCCTGATCCAAAAAAACTAAAAATAATTTTGAAAAACAAAGGGACTCTCCTCTCTTTCTTTCCTTGGCCTGCCTTTTAATAAGTGAGTTTGTGTATCCCACAGCCATTTCACACGTACAGAAACCAGCTGTGATTTCTGGCTCTGTTCTTGCTGTCTGTATCACGTCCTTACTCTCTTTGTACCTTGGATTCCTCTGTCCATGAAATGGGGCTAGTTATGGTACCAGCCTCATGGGGAATTGTGAGGATTACATTGGATTTGCTATATGAAGCTCTTAAATCAGCATTCAGCACATTATGTGGCCTCAAACAAGTAAACTACTGTTATTTCCTATGTCCCTTCTCCCCAATTTTTTGCTGTATGGTCTTTATTTTCCTATCTCCCCTTCCAGTAATTTGGATGCTATGCATTTTATTTTTAATTTCCTAGTCATTTTTTTTTTAATTTTAAATACAACTTATAACCTCTGATTTCTCATTTCAGAAATCAGAATTAAGGAAATTAGCATACCAGACATCTCCTTCCCAACCTCTTCTTCCTCCCTTACATCTATGTGGGTTTGTTTCAAACCAATAATGGATATGTGATTTTGAGTGTTTAGTTTTTTCCTAGAAGTAGGACATTCTTATTCCTTTTTTAATTCTCATTACCCATGTTTTAGTCTTTATATTTTTATGTGGATTCAATACTCATTGCATGTGTTTTCATTGTTTAGCATCCCTATTTATATACTTTTGTGAAAAAAATCATCTTTGGTTGACTAAATTGTGAGTAAATTTTTCTTTTCAAGGAGAGTTTTCATAGTATTTCTGCCGAGTCCTTGCATATTTAAGAATTTTTTTTAATGTTTAATATTTTTTATTACTTTTACGTGTAACAGCAGTTTAGTTAAGCATTATCAAAGCATGCTATTTTTCTCAACTCTGTAGATGCAACTTTGTTGCCTTTGTCTGTGTTGTGTTTTATCTGAAGACACTCAGCTTTTTTTAGCTGACTTCTTGTTAATGGGTATACATTTTAAAAGCTCACTCTGGCTGTATCATAAAGAATAGGTCAGAGGGGTGGGGTGGGTAGTTGGAGGCCCAAGTGAGAGAGGAAACTACAAGGGAGAGGGGTCAGTGGGGAAGGAGAGATGTGGATGGCATTGAGAGAGATTTGAAAGCTATAATCTACAACAAAAAAAGTATAGCACCAAGGTCAAAGGTTCAGATCCCCTTAACCAACCAGCCGCCAAAACCAAAACCAAAACAAATAAAAGCTATAATCTGATAGGTATGATGCTTGATTAGATAGAAGGTGTGAAAAGAGGAGGATATCAAAAATTGTCAGTTTATATTACAGCGTTTACGCATTCAAATATTTTCAAAATACCCACAACAATGGAGGGTGGAAGTATGAAAAGTAAGCTAGTTAATTTCAAACATCTAGTTATAGTTTATATTAATTTTATTTATGATGTTAATTTATTTCATTTTAGCCCCAACCTTGATAGTGCCTTATTGAATCTAATGCTTGCTTTAATTTTTTTATCTCTAAGAGCAAATTAGGAATTTTTTTCTTCAAACTAAATGTTTCCTTCTGTTTTTTAGCTCCTGAAATTCTTAGTTATGATCCTATCAGCATGGCCACAGATATGTGGTAAGAATTATGAAAAATTGATCAAATTGGTTTCAGGAAATGAATATGATACTAATTTTTCTTACATTTTCTTTCTGATTTAGGAGCATTGGAGTGTTAACATATGTCATGCTTACAGGAGTATCACCTTTCTTAGGCAATAATAAACAAGAAACATTCTTGAACATCTCACAGATGGATTTAAGTTATTCTGAGGAAGAATTTGATGTTGTGTCTGAGTCAGCTATTGACTTCATCAAGACGCTTTTAGTTAGGAAACCTAAGTAAGTATGAGTTAACATTGATCTCTGTCAATTTGTGAGTGATCTGCTCCAAACAAAAGTAGTTCAATAACTGAAACACCAACATGAAGACACAAACATGCAGACATAAAACAGAGGGAACCCACAACCTTAGGCTGTACTGACCAGAGCCTTAAAAAAAAAAAAAAAAAAAAAAAAAAACTGGATGAAACCCTTGGCTTAATATGTCTGTTTAAAGAAAAAGTGGCAAAAATGAAAACGTGAATTGCATCTCAATATATAGCAGGATTTAAATGTTAATTAGCAAAAGCGTGTTATTGCAGATGCATCATGCACTGAATGGCACTCACAATTGACAGGTAGAAACTGACAATCAAATGACAACTAATCACCTGGCAGATACTTTCCATCTATTGTTGGTCTCTCCAGAGCTTTTCAAAGATACCTTACTTAGGGCCGGCCCCGTGGCTCACTCGGAGAGTGCGGCGCTGGTAGCGCCAAGGCCGTGGGTTCGGATCCTATGTATAGGGATGGGCGGTGCGCTCACTGGCTGAGCGTGGTGCAGACCACACCGTGCCGAGGGTTGTGATCCCCTTACCAGTCAAAAAAAAAAAAAAAAAGATACCTTACTTAAAATATTATTTTTCAACATTGTGGGGAGTTGCACCCAAATTCTAAAACTTCTGTTTTATTCAGGAATCCCAATAAGATTTTTGCCAACTCTTCATACTTCCCAAAATTTCATACTATACAGTACCTTATACTCTATACTCTAGTTTTTAATTGAAATTTTAATAGGTTGTCTTAAGTGTAAAATGTGTATCTTTGTGTAGAGATCGAGCTACCGCTGAAGAATGTCTAAAACATCCGTGGTTGACACAGAGCTGTATTCAAGACCCTTCTTTCAGTGTGAAAGGGGCATTAGAAGAAGCAGATGCCCTCCAAGAAGATGATTCTGTGTGTGAAATCAATTCAGATACTGAGAAACCAGAAACCAAGGAATCAGCTGTAACAGAGGAGTTGATTGTAGTTACTTCGTATACTTTAGGACAATGCAGACAGTCTGAAAAAGAGAAAATAGAGAAAAAGGCTATTTCCAAACGATTTAAATTTGAGGAACCTTTGCTACAAGAAATTCCGGGAGAATTTATCTACTGAGTATTTCCCTTTAGAACTTTAGGATTTCTACATTGGAAATGTTAATATTATTTATGGACCTCTGGCCAAATGGTACATGCACTCAAAGTGGATAACCAGGTATCACTGACACAAACAAAAATAACTTTGTCAAACTTGTGGAGTTAGGTGAATCAAGCCAGATTTATAAAATTGCCAACCAGGAGGTTTAACAGGTAAAGTTATTTGTTTCAATATTATTTTTAAGAAGGGAGATGTTTCCACCTTTTGTTTGTTTGTTTGTTTCCACCTTTTAATTCTACATCCTCTTTCTCCAGAATGAGAATTTGTATGCAAAGATATTTGTATTTGCTTTCTTTAAAAATACAAGTAAAAGTGCCAAAATTACATTTCTTTGAATCTCTTTCTTATTATTTATATGTGTATCTATCTGCATGTATGTATGTTGATATCTTTACTAAAATTGATACTTTTTCACTTTGGA